CCCATGAGTTATCAGTCCGCCCCTGATACGGTATTTATGCTATACCGCTGCAATAAAATGACACAACTGAGGAAGTCCTCACCCTGTAATATCTCCCCCATCTAATGCATTGACTACAAGGAATGCAAGTGTCCCAGTCCTGGAACTGGAAGGTTTACACATTACGTATTCCCTCAGGCATTGTGCTTAGGACCTCTTTATAGCTGACAGATGGCAGACATTTGAAAATAAACCATAGTCAATAGATAGTTCTATAAAATAAGGGCCAGCTTGTTTTCTAAAAGTAAGTTACTAACATTTGTTTGTTTGTTAACATATCAGCATTCCACTCTGCCAATCCATCCACTGGCTTCCCATTGCCCAACGAATAAAATTCAAAACATTAACAATAACATATAAAACCATTTATAACTCTGCCCCCAATTGTATCACCAATCTTGTCTCCAAATATCACCCAAACCGTCCTCTCTCGCATGACCTCCTGCTCTCTAGCTCCCTTGTCTCCTCCTCCCATGCTCATCTCCAGGACTTCTCCAGAGCCTCCCCCATCCTCTGGAACTCTCTACCCCAATCTATCAGAATATCGACTACTCTGCCCACTTTTAGGCGATCTCTGAAAACCTATCTCTTCAGGGAAGCCTATCCTGCCCTCAGCTAATAACGGAATCTTCTATTCCTTCTACCAGTCCTTCCCCCACAGTTATTACCTTTTGTACAACCAGCCCCTCCCTCTTAGATTGTAAGCTCCAAGGAGCAGGGCCCTCCTATCCCTCTTGTATTGAACTGTATTGTTGCTGTATTGTCTCCCGTCATATTGTAAAGCGCTGAGCAAACTGCTGGCACTATATAAATCCTGTATAATACAAATAACAACAACTACAGTACATAGGTGGCAATCTAGATAAATAGAGCCTTGACGCCTTTTAAAAGGCTATTGCCATCCACATCAAAGGTAGTCATTATCACATTTTAGCTCCCACACCATGCTCTTCCTATATTTCTGGCACATGGAAGTTAGTTTTCAAACTTTGCCACTTTACTTATAGGGAACCTGTCAGAATAAAAATATTGAAGAGACCACTGGAGACTTAGATCTTAAAAGTGCAAGCCCTGGAGCTGCCAACCTGACCCTCACTAACGAAGCTCAGCTTTAAAGTATGTCAGCCTTAAATGGAAAAAGTTCATCCAGTACTCAGGAAAAATTGACCAATATTCTGTTTCCACTCTTATTCTGGTGGATCATTATTAAGTTTATGTTTGTTAATTAGGTGCAAATATACATAAAAGTAAAAAAAAAAATGTATTTGGTAAAGGAGATTTTCTGTCATTCCAGTGGTGGGAGTAGCTTTCCTGTGAAAGAACAAAAGAACACAAGTTTAATCAAGAACTTTTCATTACACCACTCTACTAATCAATGAAATATGGCAATGCACTCCATTAAAGTGGACCTATCCTGTGGCACTCCTTTTCAGTCGACAGTGGGCTGAAGCCCGCTGCCAGCTGACATCACTCAGCCAGTTCGTACCTGGGAAAGATCACAACTTCAAAGTCAGGATCCACCCCAGAGTCTGGAGCGACACCTGGCTCTGCCTGTCAGCAATCCACTGAGAGCCTGAGCCAGCCCTCCCCCTCCACAGCGCAGCACTCCAGTGAGTGCTGGAGGGGGAGGGAAGACAGCGGTGACTGGCAGTCATCGCTCTCTGCTCTGAGCGGCTGTGAGAACTCAGCGATCAGCGGTCATGTGATCGCTGAGTTCTCATACTTAGAGCCGGCGGGGGACGGATGCAGCATCGGACCAATACTGCATCCACCTAGGTAAGTATAATTGGGGGAAAAAAAAATAAGTCCATACTTCTCTTTAAGTATATGTTCACTTTGCCAATCTATATTTGTATTGTTACACTCTATAGGTGCTGTTAATTGTTATATTTTTAAGTAATTTTCAATAAACATTAAGGTATCCACAAAGATCATTCACAAGGTATTTTTTCAGTTGGCTATGAAAAACTATCCTTTTATGCCTCTGTTTTATGACAAGGGTCCAGGAAAAAAGAATGTTTCATGTGTGGGAATAGTAAATCCACTGACAACATGACTGTTTCAGTGTATATAAAGAATGGGGGGGGGGGGGGGTCATGTACTGCACATATCATATCTTCATTCAAACTTTATATGTGTTACCACACTCCTAAGTGTCTTGTAAAAATTACAGAAATTTCCCATCTAGTTTGTAGAAATACATTTTTTATATCTACTATAGCCAAATATTCAGTGTGATAATCATAAGAAATGGGATAAGAGGTGTGTCTTCAGCAATCTGGGACAGGTTCATCAATGCATTTCATGTTCTACAAAGTTAGAATAGGTGCATTTTCTGCCATGATTAGCAGGAGGCATGGAATTGGCATATTAGGAAAATTAAATCCAGATTTAAAGAGACAGTGACCACTGAAAACATTAGATCATTTTTGTGCTGATTTTTACAAAATCTACCCATCACCGATATATTGAGGGGGTCTTGTATAAACTATGGGTAAACATACAGATTCAAAGCTTTGAACTCAAAAGGTAACAGCGAACAGCTCCTGTTCAGTACACAGTGGCCGATTTATAAAAATAAAAGAAAATATTGAATTGTTACCCAGAACAACTTAGCTTCTAGTAAAATATTTCTGGAAAAAAAAAGATGAAACCTGATTGGCTGATATAGGTGTATGCTCCAATCATGCTTCACTTTTTTGTGTTTTTTTTTTTTTTTTTAATATATACAGTATGTGTCCTTAACAGAAGCAAAGCATTAGCAATAAACCTGATTGGCTAATATAGGTGTATGCGCCAATCATGCTTCACTTTTTTATTTTTTTTTAATATATACAGTATGTGTCCTTAACAGAAGCAAAGCATTAGCAATAATCCTGCAGTTTCTGTGTACAGAACCTTTATATTTATTTGGAAAACTGTCATACTTCCAATACACCAGTGGATGTCACTGTTGCCTAAATATAGTGACATATACTGCAAGGGAGGAAAAACAAAATTTAGTCTGACTTTTTAAAAGACCTGACTGTAGCAGCACCACATGACACATACTAATATAAAAAATGATAATATAAAATAAAAGACATTGAAAGCAGTTAAATACATACAATAAAATGTTTTAACAAACGGTTTGACACATTTCATAGTATTATGCAGATGTTCACCCTCTAGATGTCTCACTACCAGTCCAACTGGTCAGCTAAAATGGTATTTTCATAATTTTCCAAGGTATAAGAAAGTATTATCATAGTAAGTACTGTTACTGAATTACCAGTACTCATTATGATAATGGATTCCATACCATTTTATCTGTTCAGTTGGAGTAGTAGTGAAGCATATGGAGGTTAAAAGAATGCATAATGCCTAGAAATGTCAAACAGATCACTTTTCTGAATGTTATTGCATTTTACTAGCTTTCAATAAAAATTAAGTAAAGCTTTGTGTGATGTTCGGCCTTGGTTTCAAAAGTTGCTATGTTTATGCGGATGTGGTATCTTGGTCACTACAACATGATTTGATCCAATTAAAAATTAGGATCTCTCTTAGGATGACCAGCTAAAATAACCATAAAAAATCTGTTTACAAGACGTGCCATTATCTTATTCTTACCGGTTCTAGAGAACTGCAGAGTCTCCCATAGCTGACCTCCTTCTAAAAATGCTTATTCTCTGGCTTTAAAGAAGAAATTCATAAATGCACTTTTTTTTTGCAAGTAAAAAATGTGCACTTATTTTTTTTCTTAGGAGCCTGCAGAGCATTGCACCCGCAATCAGCAGATCACAGGTGCAAAGTCAGGCTTCTGCTAACTGCCAGCACAGCTGTCTGCTCATACCTCCCGTATAGGAAGACAGTTACTGAAGTCAAGGAAGTTCATTGACAACTACAAACTGTCAGCTGCAGTGGAAGATGGTACTTGTAGATCAGCGGGTGCAGGTAGAGGACTCCCCACATGCTGTCACAATGGAGGGACGGTGTTGGGGTGCTTTAATTATATGTTACACCTTAAATATGAGTATAACATGTCACTAAAGGTAAATTCTTAATTCAAACGTTCAGTAGTCCGTTATCAAAAACAGTCACGAAGTCCAAGTCACAATTTCAGATCTGCATACTTGTCAGTAATGCAAACGTATTTAAAGTGGTTGTAAACCCTCATATTTACCCATTGAAATGGCAAGCCTCACTCAGGTGACATCCCCAAAGATTCAACAAATCCTCCTACATAAAGTGAATCCTATTTATCTGCAGTCTTCTCTATAGTCCAAAGTCTCAAAGGCCAACATTTATACAGCTTGTCTGAGCTTTCAGAAAGCGGGGGGTGGGTTGCCAATGTTACATTTTGCAGAGCTCAGTGAGGAGAGCTCTGAGAGCTGATTGGAGGGAAGGGAAACATTCCCTTCATACAGAACACAGGAACAGAGCTGAGGCTGTCAATCACAGGCTGTGTGCTGGAGCTCCTTCCCTGTTACCTTTTTACTTATAAAGAAGGGGAAGCCACTCACCATATTAAAAGTCCATGTTAGAATTTATTGAAGAATCAGGTGCACAGACTACCACCTGAAAGTTACAACTCTAGCGCATTTCACTTCTGCATAGACTCTACAACTAAACTCTGTGCAGGAATAAAACCAAGCTACCTACCTACCTAAAACAAGTTGTAACCTTCAGGTGGTACATTCCATGCACCAGATCCTTCAATTAATATTGGCATGGGCGTTTAATACTGTAAGGTGACCAGCTTCCCCTTCTTTATCTGTAAGTATTGAGTGGCTGTACATGTGGAGCAGTTTGTGGCCGTTGGGAGCTTGCCCTCGATGCTGGAAGTTTAGTGGACTGGTTTGCCTGGAGTGAAACGCTATACTTGGAGCACACTGGTGGTATTTTAGATGACTGTTTCACCATGTCAATCAGACTAGCATATTCAGAACTAGAGATCAGCATTGCCAACCTATGTATGTCCCTTAGCCCAGGTTTCCTTTACAGAAACTTCCAAGATACTTACTTTGAGGTCTAAGCTGGAGAACCTTTAGGAAATATTTAGGGAGAAGCACACCATCTACATTACCAGGTGTTAGCAGGACGTGGTTTGCAGACCAGAAGAACGGGATCTGATCTAAAAACAGAATTAAAGTATTTAGAAAAGCTTCAGGTTCAATACTGTCTAAAGTTGACAGCTTTCAGGAATCCTTGATGTCTCTGAGAAATGTTTACATTAAAAAAGAAACGTTTCCTGAGAAAAATATGGAAGGTTTCACTACAGCTATTATTTTCAAAATGTTATTTACTTGTCATGTGGACCCTCTGACTTTGAGTCATGGACATGCAGTGAATGCGAAGACAAAGGATTTCTGCAACACTGGATAGCCACTCCTCCATGTCGGTCCAAACTACCCACACCTCGCATACCTGTAGGAAGGGTGCTCACCCAGCTTGTATGCTGTATACTAGATAAAAGAGACGTCCCTGGCGGCAGCACTCCAATTCGATCCTCTTTATTGAATTAAATTATGGGCCCTCTTATAAATATATTTTTTATATATATATATATATATATATATATATATATACACACACACACAAACAGGGGTGTATTTACCACAAGGCAATTACGGCATTTGCCTAGGGATGCATTGTTTAGGGGGGCAGCACTAACCCCTGGAAGAAGGGACATATGCGGCATGGGGACCAGGTGGGATGTGAGAGAGGCTGCGGGCTGATTGATGGTGTATGCAAAGCCCAGCTGTCGTTCCTGGGGATGGCAAGAGCTGTGAAGGCGACTGTCTCTCTCTATAGCCGAGGGGGTGTTAGTGGAAGGCTCCCTCAGGTGGGGGGTGCAGGTTAGGGGTGTTGTTGGTCACTGGCAGGCTCTCTCTGCCAGGGAGGGGAGGGGCGTCCAATTTTTGTGTTGTCTAGGGCAGCACAAAACTTTCATACACCACTATGTGTATATGTATATATATATATTATTGCAAGCAGTGCAAGTACCTGAATTTGACCTGGTATCGGCCTTGTGCAGTCCCTTTATAGCAAAGCTCAGACTGGCAGAATCAGAAGTAACAGAACGAACCAATCAGGTGCGCTGCAGTGCTCAGGTGCTAACAATGAACACGCTGATAGAAGAGAGAGTGGAGTTACGCAGAAATGAGATCATCACTGTGCTGCTTCTCTTTTCACTGTCCAGTCACAGGTTGAGAGGGACAAGACAAGTAAGTGACGGAGAAATAAGATCATCACTGTGCTGCTTCTCTTTTCACTGTCCAGTCACAGGTTGGCAGAGACAAGTCCAGTACCAGTAAGTGCTACTGAACTGCAGTAGAGAAAAATCATGTCTCCTGCCCTGCCTGGCAGGACTGTGCTATATGGAAGAGCTGTGTAAATCCCAGAACAGGATAGACAGAAATACAAGCTTGTGTGTGTGTGTGTATGTTTGTATGGGTGTTTTCAGGTCTTTCAAGTGTTTAGCTGTTTGCCTAGAGTTGAAATTAATAGCAGAACTCCAGAAAAAAAATAAGATGAAAAATAATAGTCCATTAAAGGTAAAATGCATTGTGATAAAACCAACTCCAATCTATGCATTCTTCCTACCCAGTATGCCACTAGATGTGCTCAGTCTGATGGTCAGCATCATTCAACGCACTTCCTCTGAGCCCAGGTTGTCCTGTAATGGCCCAGCCTATGACAGGACAGTGAAAGTAGAAGCAGGACATTGATTAGCTAATCTGCCAGTCAGTCTACTTTCTCCTCCCTCCTACCAACATACGTCTTGTCAGAACATGATTGGCTCCTTGTACTGCTTCTTCCTCTCAGGCTCCAGCCCTACTGTACAGGTACTGCAAGAGGCTAATAACAGGTCAAAAATTAAGGTACCTATACTCATTACATTATTATTATTACTACAAAGGATTTATATAGTGCCAACAGTTTGTGTAGTGCTTTTGCAATACAAAGGGTTAAGTTAAGAGTTTTCAGGGTGCGCCTAAAGGAGAGGAGAATAGGTGATAATCTGATGGGTTGGGGCAGGGAGTTCCAGAGGATGGGTGACACCCTGGAGAAGTCCTGGAGGCGGGCATGGGAGGAGGAGACCAAAACTAGAGAGAAGGAGGTCTTTGTGAGCGGAGAGTTGCGTGTTGGGCGGTACTTGGATATTAGGTCAGAGATGTAGTTCGGGGCAGTATGGTGGACGGCTTTGTACGTCAGCGTTAGGATTTTGAATTTGATCCGTTGCGCAATCGGAAGCCAGTGGAGGGATTGGCAGAGGGGGGTGGCGGAAACGGAGCGGTTGGAAAGGTGAATGAGTCTGGCAGCCGTATTCAGGATGGACTGAAGCGGGGATAGCCAGCGGCGAGGCAGGCCAGTGAGGAGGGAGTTGCAGTAGTCGAGTCGTGATATGATGAGGGAGTGGATGAGCTGTTTAGTGGTTTCTGGAGTTAGGAACGTGCGGATTTTGGCGATGTTGCGGAGGTGGAGTCTGCACGAGTTTGTTAAAGAGTGGACTTGGGGCTGGAAGGATAGGTTGGAGTCCAAAATGACACCAAGTACTCTGGCCTGCGGGGCGGGTTTGATGGTGGCGTTGTTGGACATGATGGAGAAGTCAATGGGGGGTGGTGTCCGGGCTGGAGGAAGACAAGAAACTCGGTTTTGGAGCTTTCAGTTTAAGGAAGTGGAGCGACATCCAGTCTGATATGTCGCTCTCAACAGGTGTGTGATTCGGGTGGAGACGAGGGGGTGAGGTGGGGGGTTGAGAGATAGATTTGTGTGTCGTCGGCATAGAGGTGGTAGTTGAAGCCATGAGAGTGTATGAGTTGGCCAAGGGAGGAGGTGTAGATGGAGAAGAGAAGGGGCCCGAGGACAGAGCCTTGAGGGACCCCAACAGAGAGGGGGAGTGAGAGGGAGGTGGTGGCATTTAGGTAACGCTGAAAAGAGCGTTGTGACAGGTAGGATGAGAGCCAGGAGAGAGCAGAATCTCTGAGGCCGAGGGAGTGTAGTTTTTTGAGGAGGAGGGGGTGGTCGACTGTGTCGAAGGCCGCAGAGAGGTCAAGGAGTAGGAGCACTGAATAGCACTGTTGCAAACAAATAATCTTTCTTCATACATCTTGGCCAACATGTATTCAGCTATCTTTTTAGTAAAAAAAAAAAAAAAAAAACCCAAAATTAGTTTATAACCAAAAATTATATTTTTTCAAAAAAATTTTTTACAATTTTATTTTTTTATAATATTATTTTTTTTGTAACATACTGTCACTCTAGCAATACAGTGTCACCATAGTGATACTGTACTACTTGTGGGGGTGAAGAAGATTTTTTTTTTTTTACACCGATTGCTTTTACACCCATAAAGGCTGTAAAAGCAATAATTTCTCCTTTTCTCTGACTTCATTTTTGCAGCCATTGAGAAATACTGTGCGAGCTGTGATTGGTCAGAGCTTGTCACATGGTACAAGGCTGTTGTGAATAGCCTTGTACCATGTGGCCTCTGTGATCATTCACAGATTTCACTAGTAGTAAGTAATGATGTCTGAAGTGACATCTTGCTTACTATTATTCATGTGATCACTGATTGGCCAATCAGTGATCACATGATTGGGACCTCACACAGAGGTCCCGTACAGCGATCGGTGTTCCGTTGTGTCCTCCAGACACAGCAGGGACCGGATTGCACAGGCAGGGAAGCGGGAGGACGTTTAGAAACGGCCACCCGCCCCTGCACTCCTCCCGTCCGGCTGTTTATGTACAGGTGCCGGACCTGAAGTGGTTAAGGTATTCACTTTGAATTGAACTATTCAGAATTAAAATTATTAACAAAGACTATCTAAACTTGTAAACATCTTATTAGAACCTCTGTTGGGTTTTTCTTGCTGTCTGGGTCCTTACTGGGGAAATTTCCCTTCACTTCTAGTTGTGGAGACCAGGGGTGGACTGACCATTTGGAAACACGGGCACTGCCCGAGGGCCCGGGGTCAGTAGGGGGCCCCATGAAATGCCCCTGGTACCTTTTATAGGCTTTTTTTGAGTGTGGGCAAGGGCACAGGGGCCCCATGATCCCCTATTGCCCGGGGGCCCATAAGTTGTCAGTCCGCCCCTGGTGGAGACTGGTGTCACCTGTGACAGGAAATTTAAATAGACAGCAACAAAAACACTTTTAGCAGAGTGTGTGAAGCTTGGAGCCTCTGTCAGGTTCTGGTATTTTCTCTTAGTAATGTCTGTATAGCAATGATGTTTCTGTAAGACAACCCTCTGGGGAAACTAAAATCATACGTTGAGTCTTGTGTCAATGCTGGGAGATTTCTGCTCATTTCCTATCCCAGCAGGTAACTTCTTAATTTCCAAATCACTTAGGCTGTATGTTCAATGCCTGGAAAACCTTGCAGCTGACTAAATGAAAGCAAACAGTGCCTGTGTGAGAAGAGAAGAAGCAGACTCACCCGCTATTGCCTTTGGAAGGTCTATAAATATTGCTACTTCACAGTCCCTACGCATTCCTGCAAAGACACATAGCAACGGTTACATCAATTTACAACTCTCATGACATACTATATTCATGAACCAGTAAATACCCAACAATGAGAAATACCAGACACCACTTCCAGGGTGTCACTTTCTGGAGTGTCTATTACAGACTAGCAAAGCCCAGAATAGCTTGTACATAGTAACCAGCCATCCATTACCTGTGCAGTATGATACATAGAGATTCATTTACCCTCGTTGTATATATATACAAAGATTCAGGGAAAATAAATACAATTAGTTTCAATATAGAAAAAAGTTTTAACATCGATATAAGAATCTGTCATTTTTAGTCTGACTGTATTTCTTCAATTTTGTGAGAAAAAAAGTGAATTTTTTTTTTAAAATCAGGATCTTTATCCTAAGTGAATTAAAATAAACAGGCGTTTCACATAAACACTATGGGAGAGATTTACTAAAACTGGTGCAAGAATCTTACGCAGCTGTGCGTGGTAGCCAATCAGCTAATCATTTCAGCTTGTTCAGTTAAAGTGTTACTAAACCCACAACAGTAAAATCAGTCTGTATATGCAGTAACACATACTTGTTATACTCACTGTGGAACCTAAGAGGTTCTGCATTGTGTAAAAAGGATGTTTGATCCTGTCTTCTCTGATCCTTCCCTTCTACTGTCCCCTATTCATCTCATCGCAAGCTGCACATGCTCAGTATTGCTAGAAAGTTTTTTATTTTGGATGTGGTCAGCACAGGGCCAATCAGCACCGTCCAGACAGAGGGCCAGGGGTCCTGCAGCCTCATAAGACAATCAGGGGAGAATGAAAACTCTACCTACAAGCTTTAACCAGTGCTCTGCTGGCTGGACACTGATAAAAGTCACAAGACTGCTCTAAACTGCTGATGAGAAAAGGTATTTAGCCATTTATATTTACTAAAATAATTGCATTTCCATGTTCTGTGTACTGTGGGAGACCAGATATAGTGAATGCAGTGTCCTGGGTTTAGTAGCATTTTAAGCTTTGACAAAAAAAACCTGGAAGCTGGATTGGTTTCTGTGCAGAGCTGCACCAGATATTGCACTCTCCAGTTTTAGTAAATCTCCCCCTATGCTTTGCTAGTAGCATTCATAATGGTAAATATTACATAATAGAAACCAACCACAACCTAGAGTTGGGAGTAAAAGGACTAGTTCAGGACTATTGGTAGAATTTCTAAGGCTGCTTTCAGACCAAAATCGCACAGTGTGACCGCATTGCGGCAGCAGTGCAGTGTACCTGCAGGTTTGGTGCCAGTTAGCTATGCTTTCCCATTCAGTTCTTTTCGGTCTCTTTTTGAAAGCATGTGGGTGAGTGCAGTGTGGTGCAGCAGCAGTAAACACACAGAGTAACTGCAGATAACAGAACTTGTTTTGAATTTACAGACAAAAAATACAAACTGTTCTGAACAGTAATGCAGAGCAGGGCAGGTCTAGTGTGCCCACAGTGTCTGTCACTGAGGGTGGAATGTGGCATGGCTGCTCTGTACCCAACTGGGAGGATACCATGACCCTATCCTGTCCCTACTTATCAGTTACCTTTCCCTAACACTATTCACTTTCCTTGACAGAAGGGTAACCTGTCCTTGCATTGTACACTCGGAAAATGTGTGCTAAAGCTGGGAGCCAGCATCTTAAATAGACCCTGCCTGACCCAAGGTGGCCGCCATAGTCACATGGGGTGGCAGAATTCATCCGGATCGCTTGCCAGTGACCCAAGAAACCATAGAGGAACAGGTTCCCAAATTCCTCTCCTCCTGCAATGTTGCTGTGGTTGAGATCTTGTAGGGACCTGCCTACAAGTGCACCAACGATGCAGTATGCAGTTCAATGGAAGGAGCCCCTGAAGACTGTACAGCCTTCAGCATGAAAGTGGCAGTCAGTGATGACCATATCTACTCCAGAAAACATACTCAGAATAGCAGAAATTACAGGTTTGTCTTCTTAGTATGACCTGCAGTCGTTCATAATAACCAATTAATAGCACAGTTGCGATAGGGTAGCCATAGACGTTTAATGACAACAATCTCATGTTTATGAAGAGGTCCTGACCCTGCTTAGCTCACTGCTATCACAGGAGACATTGATTTGGAAGATTGGAATGGATAACCAATCATCCCCTACGAGACAAGCTGTTTTGACAGCATATTGCCAGCATCACTCCTCTGGACACCCCCCCATTTTTGTTCATGTGCAAAAGAATAATTTGCTAAGCAGAACACTGCTGTTCATGGAGCCGCTGGCTGTTTCCTGTGCCTGAAGGCAGCTGGATTGTTCATACATGTTTGACCACTCTCAAAGGTCTATGGGGGGCTTCACTTTATACCAAGAAGAACAGCTGCTGCCATATATCACTCACCACTGATGACTTTGTCACCTTCTCCTGGGAGCTCAATGGTCAGGTGAATGTGTGTCCGGCTCATACGAGAGAGTCCGCTGTGAAGAATTGATGGCCAGTGATGGAGAAAAGTCCCATGTATTGCTTGTGGAGGAAGCTCTGTTCCCAGTGGGCTGAGATCCACCTCCACCTAAAAAAAAAAAACCACGTACATAGCACATAAATATACTATATGTATACAGTGAAGGAACTAAGTATTGGATCCCCTGCTGATTTTGAATGTTTGCCCACTCACAAAGAAATGATCAGTCTAACAATCGAATGGTAGATGTATTGTAACACTGAGAGACAGAATAGCAACAAAAAATTCAAAAGAAATGCATATCTAATAAATTATGCACTGATTTGCATGTTCATGAGGGAAATAAGTATTTTATCCCCTATTATTCAGCAGGATTTCTGGCTACCAGGTGTCTTTCATACAGGTAACAAGCTGAGATTAGAAGCAGTCTCTTAAAGGGAGTGCTGCTAATCTCATTTTGTTACCTGTATAAAAGACACCTGTCCACAGGAGCAATCAAACAATCAGATTCCAAACTCTCCACCATGGCAAAGACCAAAGAGCTGTCCAAGGAAGTCAGGGACAAGATTGAAGACCTACACAAGGCTGGTCTGGGCTACCAAACTATCGCCAAGCAGCTTGGTGAGAAGGTGACAACAGTTGGTGCAATCATTCGCAAATGGAAGAAACAGAAAACCACTGTTAGAAGTATGTCATTACTATCAGTTAAAGCCGTAGTTTAGTCTGCCTATATTTTGCCTTCACGGATTCCTCTTTTACCCCTGACCAACATGCCAATTACATTTTTAAATAAAATATTTGTTTTCATTACACGCTTTACTTTATACCTAGTGATGTCATCACTGATTCCCTGTGCTTCTCTATACAAGGTAAGAAGATCATGGCTGGTTGGGGGGGAGCAGGATTCTGTATATAGCTTTCTGAAAACATCACAGCAGCCTCACTCAGTACGCCTTTCAAGAACCCTCAGCCCTAATTCAAGCAGCAGGCTGGATCCTGGGAGGAGTTATGCAAGTATCAAAATACCTTGATGGGTGGATGATAGTCTGTAGAAGTGGGCATTTCTATGCAGGCTGGATTTGCCTGCAGACCACTTTAGGTAACACGCAAGCAGGGGCGGACTGACCATTCGAGCACTCAGGCACTGCCCGAGGGCCCGGGGTCAGTAGGGGGCCCCATGAAATGCCCCCCTGGTACCTTTTTATAGGCTTTTTTGTGTGTGCTTTTAGTGTGGGCAAGGACACAAGGGCCCCATGAACCTCTATTGCCCTGGGACCCCATGGGTTGTCAGTCCACCCCTGCACACAAGTGATGCTAAACCTTTAATATTGAAAAAAATGTAAATTCAAAAAATGAAAGCTTGGTGCTATCTAACTTGCTGCTGCTTCTAATGCAGCAATGGGCAAACTACGGCCCTCGGGCCGTATACGGCCCGGCGGACCTTTTAATCCGGCCCGCGGAGCTAGGCTCCCGCTAGGCTCCTCTCACAGTTCGCCCTGAAGACCGGTGTAGCATGAAAATCTGTCTCCTATGAGGATCTGTCTCCTCGACGTATCTGCGCATGTGCCGGAGATCGCCGATCGGCTGCTAATGCCTGAAACTGGCACATGCGCAAATACGTCGAGGGGGACAGATCCTCATAGGAGACAGATTTTCATGCTACACCAGAACGGCGCGGGAACACGGCGAGAGGAACGCGCGGAGCAAAGGTAAGTGAATTGACACAGGGGGGACTTGGGGACTTAATATGGGGAATGAATTAATAGGGGGGATGAATTACTATAGGGGGGATGAATTACTATATGGGGGATGAATTACTATATGGGGGATTAATTACTATATGGGGGATGAATTACTATAGGGGGGATGAATTACTATAGGGGGGATGAATTATATATGGGGGATGAATTACTATGGGGGATGAATTACTATAGGGGGGATGAATTACTATATGGGGGATGAATTACGATATACGGGGGGATGAATTACTATATGGGGGATGAATTACTATGGGGGATGAATTACTATGGGGGATGAATTACTATGGGGGATGAATTACTATAGGGGGGATGAATTACTATATGGGGGATGAATTACTATGGGGGATGAATTACTATATGGGGGATGAATTACTATGGGGGATGAATTACTATATGGGGGATGAATTACTATATGAGGGATTAATTACTATATGGGGGATGAATTACTATATGGGGGATGAATTACTATAGGGGGGATGAATTACTATATGGGGGATGAATTACTATGGGGGATGAATTACTATGGGGGATGAATTACTATAGGGGGGATGAATTACTATGGGGGATGAATTACTATGGGGGATGAATTACTATAGGGGGGATGAATTACTATATGGGGGATGAATTACTATGGGGGATGAATTACTATGGGTGATGAATTACTATAGGGGGGATGAATTACTATAGGGGGGATGAATTACTATAGGGGGGATGAATTACTATGGGGGATGAATTACTATATGGGGATGAATTACTATATGGGGGATGAATTACTATGGGGGATGAATTACTATGGGGGATTAATTACTATATGGGGGATGAATTACTATATGGGGGATGAATTACTATATGGGGGATGAATTACTATATGGGGGATGAGTTACTATATGGGGGATGAATTACTATATGGGGGATGAATTACTATGGGGGATGAATTACTATATGGGGGATGAATTACTATATGGGGGATGAATTACTATATGGGGGATTAATTACTATGCTTACTATGGGGGAATATTACTATACTTACTATGGATGACACATACACATCATTCATCTACTCTTGGTCCGGCCCCCGGGGTCCAATATATGAACCCATTGCGGCCCTCAAATCAAAAAGTTTTGCCCACCCCTGATCTAATGCATACTGTGAGAAGCTCAAATTGGAGAGTGAAATCAGAGTTATTTTCAGTCCGTGCAAGATTGAAGAGACGACTGGAGTTCAGCTTTAAAGGGATTCAGTTAAATTTTTTATGCACCTACATACTTTTATGCCTTTATGATTCTATTTCTAAAGATTTGTCCGGTTTTTCCTTTAGTGGCTATCTGCATATAGTTAGCAGATAGTCCAGACAAGCTAATGTTTGTTCTGTGAGAGCAGAAAAGGAAACCTGGTCATATATGGACTGAAATCTGGCTTGTTCACTAGAGATTATCCAAATATTGATCCATGTATGGGCACTGTGGTTGTACTCTACTGATCTGCTTCTGTATAACGACCCTGTCAGATTTTCCCTGTTCGATCAGCACAGTCTGCAGTGCTAATCAGTGTATTCTGACAGCGGCAAAGTCTCCCCGCTGTCAGAATACAATAGCTTAGCAGGGAAAATTTCTCCATATACACTGAATGTGTGAATGGGGAGGAAATAGGGTCGTTTGGTTTCCTTTTTTGGTCAGCTTGGCTGCCTAGAACCAATTACTGTCCATATAAAAAAATATGGTTTCCACGTACAAACTACAGCGACAACACTCTGCCGGGACCAACATTTTTACCGTGAGCATTTTCTTGTTTTACTGCTAACAAGTGTCAATGGGCAAGATTTACTAAAAGTGGAGAGTACAAAATCTAGTGCAGCTGAGCATGGTAGCCAATCAGCTTCTAACTTCAGTTTGTTCAATTAAACTTTGACAATTAAACCTGATTGGTTTCTATGAAGAGCTGCACCAGTTTGCACGCTCTAGTTTTAGTAAATCCCCCCTAATGTGTAATTAGAGTGATGTCCCCTCCAAATCCATAGGCTGAACGAACAATGACCGAACAACTACACACTGATAAGCCATCCACTGTGCTCTCTTCTTATGCTCCCTGTATATGTGCATGCAGCAAAGCCTCATTGGTATCTAGAAGCATTCCTTCTCCCAACGTCAGTTCTGCTCTGTATGGGATCAGAGGAAGATGATCAAGACAAATCCAGGGACTAAAAGTACCTCACTATATATATATATATATATATATATATATATATATATATATATATATATATACACACACATATATATACATACACACACTGTACTGTACTCTCACACCTAGTGTGGTCAGTCTTTAATAGGAAAGCAGGGGGGGACAGGCTGGAATACCAGGGATTTCACACAAGGGAAGCAATGAAAAAAGAACAGGAAACTTTTCATACAAGTACATGGTACAGCAGGCATATAAGGAATATGAAATGTTGGATTGACATATTCTTTTACTTAGTTGCATATAAACACAATTTATTATTTTTAAAGGAATACACAATTGCATTAAGTGTTTTTTTTTTTACCTGCCTGAACTTCAGCACTAAACAATGTGATAATTGTGTGTATATATTGGGAATTCTACTTGTGAGATTTATGCGCTTAAAGTCTAACTAAACCCACAACAGTAAAATCAGTCTGTATATGCAGTAAAGCATGCTTGTTATACGCAAAGTGGAACCTAAGGGGTTAATCCTCTGCATTGTGTAAAAAAGCTGTCTGAACCTGACTTCACTGTCCCTCCTCCTGCTCAAATGTCCACAGTGATAAGACAGACTGAACCCGTGCCCTTCTGCACATGCTCAGTTTAGTGTGTATTGCTAGACAGGTTTTTTTTTTTTCTTGGGAGAGTGCATGCGATCAGCACAGGGCCAATCAAGACAGAGGTCAAGGGTTTTATATCCTCCTAGAGCAGAAATAAAACTCCTCCTGCAAGCTTTAACCAGTGCTCAGCTGAAGTCACAAGACTGCTCTAATTTCTGATGAGAAAAGGTATTTAACAGTGTATACTTACTAAAATAATTGCATTTCGATGTTGTGTGTACTGTGGGATATAGTGAATGCAGGGTCCGGGGAGACCAGATATAGTGAATGCAGGTCCGGGGAGACGGATATAGTGAATGCGGGGTTCGGGAGACCAGATATATAGTGAATGCGGGGTCCAGGGAGACCAGAGAATGCAGGGTCTTGGGAGACCAGATATAGTGAATGCAGGGTCCGGGGAGACCAGATATAGTGAATGCAGGGTCCGGGGAGACCAGATATAGTGAATGCAGGGTCCGGGGAGACCGGATATAGTGAATGCGGGGTCCGGGGAGACCAGATATAGTGAATGCGGGGTCTGGGGATACCAGATATAGTGAATGCAGGGTCCTGGGAGACCAGATATAGTGAATGCAGGGTCCTGGGAGACCAGATATAGTGAATGCAGGGTCGGGGGAGACCAGATATAGTGAATGCAGGGTCCTGGGAGACCAGATATAGTGAATGCAGGGTCCTGGGAGACCAGATAATGCAGGGTCCTGGGTTTAGTAACACTTTAAGCTCCTCTATCTGCACACCTGCTGTGGCCACAAGTCATTTCTTCTTTTCCTGCTGGATTTTTTTAGTTTTCTTTATAATATAGAAAATGCAGGTGCTGAAAAACACAAAGGTAGGCAGGAACACCCAAACTCCCAGGTGGATAATAAAACAAGAATTATGCAGGGAGATCTCGCCTTTGGAGTGTTCAATACATGGTGCAGAATTATCCTACCATCCTCCACCACTAGCTGAAATATCGCTTTTGTGTGGACAGGTCCCGTTACTGACACCTGAAAACAGATTTATTCACCAGTACCTGTAAGGAGTGTCCTTGATTTGCTCGAATTTCCAGCTTCCCTTCTGGCTCTGAGCTTCTTAGCATGAATCTTTGCTTGTCATTGGATCTAACTACACGTTCAATGTCATTGAGAGAAAAGGAACGGAACTGAGGAAGGGAGAGGAGAGAGGAGACAGGGACAAAGCCATCTACAGGGACACATTATTGGGTGAAGTGTCAACAAATATTAATGAAAAGAGGTTTGGGTGTGAAATGAACAATGAGAAACAATTGGAGAACAAGTGTTAGGAACAGTGCCAAGGAGGGGGGGAAAAAAAAAATGATGTAAATTCATTTGCAGTAACATAGTTTCAGTGTGCATTTTCAAAAAATGCTGTAACCCTAAATTATTTTATCACACTTTTATCTCACATTTTTTTATCAGATATTTTTACGCCATTTTTCTGACAATTTTGTTTTACCATTTCTACCACTAAATGTATTGCTTAAACAGGGACAGGGTAACAGGGACACAAAGGAATAAACCCTGAGAAATGTTCTATACCTTCTTCATTTTATCGAAAATTCTAGATAGAAAATGCATGGGACTTTTCTTTTTAACGGCCGATTCACACTGTACAGGCCTCAGAGCCAGTGTGAATGAGACTTTATTATGGATATTAAACTTATTTAATATTAACTTGGACATTCCGTTATTTATTAATAATTCGTGAAGTAGCTTTAAAAGAAGCCCTTACCAACCACTGTATCTGCAGCCACTGTGGAGCAATTAATCCTCAATTTTCACAGCGGAAGCACTGAAAATCTTTTCTAATCTAGTCCAGCTCTCCCCATCCAGTAATGGCTCCATAGTTTTTCAGCTTTCTAATTTCCAAAAGCAGGAGCTCTAAAAGGGGGGGAAGCAAAGGCAGAATGCTGCTGAAACAACGACTGCAGTGCTTCTGCTTTGAACTTTTGTGAATTAATTGCTTCACAATGCCTGCAGTTGAAGAGGTCAGTGAGATCTTAATATAATGCTCATTTACTACTTGTAAATAATCTGTCAATACTTGAACATCTATAGTCTAGCCACAAGGCAAACTTCTGGGAAAACGACAAATCATAAACCAACACATCAGCATATGCCAAACCTCTTACTTTCAATATTTGCTCCTGTAGCACCACTATTAACATGTCACAGCTCCTGACAGACAGGACTATGCATGCTGCCCACTCAAATGCCTATAGCTACGCAAATGGTGACCACACTAAAGTCATTATTGACATAGACACTTGGGAATGCGTGCAGGCGGCACTGGAAGGGCATATGTTAAAATAAGAGATATGTATGGCCAGGTTATGCATTTTAAATCTTAAAATTAAAAAAAAAAAAGTTCACTGTGCTCAGGCTCAATTGACAAATGCGGTAAAGAGAGCTGCCAGCACTATAAGTTCAGATAATTAAACTCATGTAAATATATAGCTAAAAGTGCATCGCTAGAACATAACAAATCTATAAATAAGTGCCAGTTTATGTTTAAAAAAGTTTTCATGGAACAATGAAAAAATTGTATATATATATATATATATATATATATATATATATATATATAAAAAATATATATTTATACACACAATTAATTAAAAGAACTCCATAAGTCCAAAGTTGGACTTATGTAGTTCTTTACATATACACACATATGTAGTTTTTTATATATATATATATATATATATATATATATATATATAAAAAATATATATTTATACACACAATTAATTAAAAGAACTCCATAAGTCCAACTTTGGACTTATGGAGCTCTTTCAATATATATATATATATATATATATATATATACATACATACATATACACATATACACACATACGCCCCGTGAGGACGTCGGATGGCGAAACTAGTAGGGAGGGGCTTCTTTTGGATGTCACTTCAGGACGCTCCTCATAGACTGTCGGCTGTGATATCTTGGTGAGCGAGGCTTGTCCCTGCTTTCTTGAGGCTGTCATTGCTGGTGTCGGCTAGACACCCTGTTTGTGTATTTACTTATATATTTACTTATATTTAGCGCACTCTTTGATTTATTCACAGCTTCAAAATTCAGCTCGTTCAATTAGGGCTAATTCACACTGACTTGCACTAAAATGCATGTACATTTCCATCCATTTTAATTGCGTTTTAACGCACGCTGATATCCGTTGACAGACATTCTTACATCCGTTGACATATATTTTGCATTTTAGCGCAAAGCAACGTTATGGTGTAAACAGGACACATTATACAGTATTCTTTTCCAGATGACTTTCTGTTGATCTGCGTTTTAAAGCTGTGCTAAAATGCACTGGTATGAATTGGCCCTTAGCGCTTTCACAATAAAACCTGGAAGGTAGCTGGTTTCTATGCAGAGCTGTACCAGATTTTGCACTTTCCAGTTTAGTAAATGTCCCCAGAGTGTAGCCATCTACCTTATGTGGCACTACCCCCTTAGGAGTTATTATTATTATTATTATACAGTATTTATAAAGCGTCAATAGTTCGCTCAGCGCTGTACATTACAAAGGGGGACAGAACATGTGACAAAACAATACCAATACAATGCAAAACATGAGGGGATTGAGGGCCCTGCTCTTTCGAGCTTACAATCTAGGAGATGCTGAAGATTTGGGTCCCCCTATAGTCTTGCACAGCCAGCCAACACATATTCCCCTCCAGAGACAGTAAACAGTCCTTGAACTTGGTTTTTTGGATATTTTAGGGGATTTGAACTTGAATGAGGGATACGTGGGATGCCCAAGACACTGTTAAACGGAGGACAACTTCCTGGAACTATGTACAAGTACTCAGAAGGGTTTCTCTTCTTGGAGACCTATCTAGCCTCTCCTGGCAAACCACCCCAAACCCCAGATAGCCCTCTTCTATCCAGCTGTCTGGAGAAATCCCTGGACAAAGGGGAGCTAGAGGCCAAAGCTTTAAAGCATAGTCCAGCTGGGGCCTAGTTAGGTTTCCCACCTAAATGCCCTCTCCCCTACTTCAGTCTAATTTGGTGTAGAAGTACTCACTGTCCTTCTTCTGCAAGCTGCAGGTTGATAGCTGCCTTCAGGCCTTCTGCTGGGCTGGCTCCTTCCTTAGCTCCACAAATGGTCCTCACTCCGGGGGCCAGTGAGCTTCAGCTTTCCCCTGTCAGCTCCATCCTGGGGGCAGGCCCCTTCCCTAGGCTCCACACTCCCAGGCTCCACACTCCAGCTCCTGCTCTCACATCTTCCACCTGAACTCTCTTGCTACTGAGCAGACTCAGTTGCTCTTAAAGTATAGCTAAAGGTAAATCTTTTTTTTGTTTTGGACAGAGTGGAGAGTGATTAGAACCCGTCTTTTTTTTTTTTTTTGCGGTGTGACCCAGTTTGGGAGATTCACCCTCTATATTTGTCCTGTTTGCTATTATCATTGAAAGTGAAAAGTAAAAGAAAACCCCAAATTTTGGGTTGTCCCCAGAAAAAGAAATACAGGGGAAATCTTCCAATGGGGACACTAGTTTTGGTGATCTGCGGGTGCCCAAGGAATCCCCTAATTTGCAGGGATTTCCTATTACTTCCTGTTTGGCTATGGGATAGGAAGTGAAGGGAATCACCACAATGGGACACAGATGGCAAAAGAAAAAAAAAAAAAAATCTGACAGGAGATCTAATTCTCCCTTATTAGACTATTTAGAATGGAATAAAAAAATAAGTTTGGCCTTTAATTCTACTTTAAGGGCTGTCCTGACCCCATGCAAAGCCTCCTGCTTGGGGAATGGCCAGAATCCCTTAAGAGTGAGGACCAGTTCCTACTCACCCCCACCCACTGAGTTCTAGAAACTTCTCCATGTCTCTAGATCAGGGGGAGGTATCAGAGAACTGATCTGTAAAGCCCCTCAGCCCTGACCCAAATTTTACCCCTCTGACAATTTTTCCAGGCTGCTACTCAGCCTCCTACTAAAAAAATATTCAACTTGCTCCCCCTAGCTGTTAGTGGTACCAGTCTACAGTCAAAGTGGCATCAATATGGCTTGTGTTACCGTATACGTTCTGCCATAATACAACTACTCCCTATTAAACTGAAAGCTGTTTCCTATACCATACTGATACATCAACCTAAAGCTTGCATCCATTTTGTCTCCACAACATATATTTTAAAAGGTAAAAGAAGATTCTGTCACAAAACACCTAATCAAGTTCTCATGGAAGCAGCCACCCCCCAGCTCCTGCGATTCAGTGACATCACAAATTATTTTAGTTTCACTAGCCCATCACTACTATGTGGCACACGTGTCAGAGATTGTGTCAGTGAGAGTTCACAGTCTGATTTCCTTTTAAAGGATAGGTTTTACTGAACATATATTAGCTCTCCAAAATTCATGCCGTAACCAGCACCACTTACCTGATTCCATTTCTAAGCCCATAGAGACAGCTCCATGACGCAATGCATAGGATAAAAGCTTTGATAAACGCACATCTGGATCCTGCCAGGGAGAGACAGATTGGTAATTCAATCTAAGTTATAACCATCCTATAGAAATTATTTTTGAGTGGCAAATCCTTGAATCCCTAACAAGAAGTATAAATGACTATGTTACGAAAAACTGCATAGGGCCCCTAGCTGCATATGCTATATGTTGTTTTTAATGCAGTGCAAAGTTATTGTATTCAAAGTACAAAGTTATTGTATTCAAAGTAAGTAATCCATAGCAAATAAAATGTATATGTTACAGATCTAAAATCAGTAAACTGAAATCTGATTGGATACTATGAGTTGTATAATTTTGCAAATCATCATTGCGCTGCCTAATAAACAAATGTAAGTCTTCTTCTAGGATAGCCTGTTCTAGGCTATCAGTAAGCAATGGTATGTTCTCATTGGCCCATTATATCCCAGGAAGGTGAAGTAGTTCAACAGTCCTGTGCGTACAAACATCAGAGAACATTCATATTATCTGGCTAATGTAACAGACATCTCCAGCCAATTAGAGAGGGAGTCAGTAGGCCAGACTGGATTTTGCCATTGTCTGTTGACCCAATTGGAGAAGTTGGGCAGAGAGTTGCCATTTTCTACAACAGATGCAAACACAGATCTGTGCAACAATTATTTACTAGAAATATCATTTGTTATGTGTATAATTTAAGACCTGGTGGCTGGACTAGGAATGTCTGTAGACACCTTTAGCTTC